ATTACAAAAAGCAGTGCCTGAGAGCCTTGAATCAGTACCTTTAATTACAATTAGAAGATTTTCAAGAAAGTGCTGGCACTATACAGAAAAGGAATTAATGTTAAATTGGCAGTATATGCTGTCAAAAATATAAATCCCATAGGAGAATACCAGATGGAGTAATAGAAGGATTGAACAAAATTAGAATTTCTTTAATTTTTTTGACCAAATAAGATTAAGATATACATTCAAAAATTCGGACTGATCGGCATTTTTTGATGAGTATAGGTGATACGCACCATATGTTATTAATTTTATAATTATAAAATGTGAAACAAAAAAATAATAATTTTTTTTAAATAATCTTTAATCTCCAATCTATTTTTTCAAGTTTCGGTTTTTCAATATTGATCTTTGGTTCAATTGGATTTTTTTCTAAATTAGTCTATAATAATAGGAGAAAGAAGGTGATTTTAGTATTAAAAAATATATATATTTGAAAAATAATTATATCAGGTTGAATACCTCTAAATTATTTGATGAATTAATATTATTATTAATATTAATATTATTAGTAAGATTAGGATGATGAACAAATATTTCATTTATATTATTTTGAATTTTTTCTTCTAGATCGCCAAATAAATTTTGAATTTGTTGTAGATGTTTAATATATCCAAACGTTAAAAGACAATTTGATAAATTTGATATTTCAACTATAAAATAATATGCGATTTGATTAATTAAAAGTTAATACGACGATGATGATAATATTATCATGCACTATATTATATTACCTTGGGTATTGTTAAACCTTTCAATTAATCTTTTCAAAGAATCAATAAGATATTCTTCTTCATATATACTTCCTTTTTTACCTCTAGCACGTTTTCTTTCAGCTCTACGTCTACTTTTTGCGCTTTTTCTACATACAAATGATTATTTTTTTTTTGATAAAAAAAGCAAGTTATTGAATAATAAAATTTTCACATGTATGAATTCTCCATCTATCCAATCCAAATCAAATATTATTAGTAATAATAATTCCTTACCCGCTTTTATTAGTATTAACGCTTAATTGTGTTATTGATTGTGTATATCGAGAAAATCCACTCACCATTGAACTTGTATCAGATAACACATCAACATTATCTGAAACTTCTAAAACTTCTTCACCGTAAAATTGATCCACTAATTGTCGATGATTGTGATCAATTACAATTGAACTTTTATCATTATAAAAAAAATCTTTCTTCTGAGGGAAAAAATTACCTGATTGATTAAGTTTGGTTATTCTTATTTCTTTTAATCGAGCAGTCTGATGGTTCAATTGATCTAGCATAGAATTAACATCTTGTAATAAATTATTAAACCCTAAATTTCACATAATAATAATAAAAATAATAATATAATTAATTAAAAAATAAAGATCATCCAAATATTATTTTTAAAATATAATATCTAAACCTTCGATCACACTTGGTTTTATATCAGTTTCAATAAGATCTATACGATTATACATATGTGACTTTTTTATTAAACATATACATATTGGATTAGATTATATTATTAGTAAATTTAATAATTCTCATTGTATATATATATGTATATTTACGATACGCATAGCCTCAGACCAATGATGACCTTTATTAAACAATAATATTGCTTCTTCAGTTTGCTATTTCAGAATAATAATAAAATTAATAAAATATTAGAAAATCAATTATCAGAGAGAAAGACAAAACCTTTGCATAATCTAATAAAATCTGTGCTGCTTCTTGATATCTTCTTTTTTCCGATAAAATTTCTATAACCAAAAAAGTTATTGAATTTAATAATTTTAATTACTCCCTACTCCCTCTCCGTCTCTTCCCATACACGCATGCACCTGAAAATTCTTTGGCCAATGAAAATAATTCATTTTCTGAATATTTTAACTCATATGCTATAGAAAATGATTCACGCCAAAATCCACATTTTTTATATGCTTCAAGCGCATTAACTTTGTCATCAGATAATAAATAGGCTATAACAATAAAAATCATTTTAATAATGATGATGATGATTTTAATATATTATATAATATGTGGTGATTTAAAGAATTACTTACCTAAACCTGCTTCTTTAAAATCTGATTCATTAAATAAATATTCTCCGTAAATCCTCATAACTCTCTAAAATAATTTATTATTACAAATAGCAAATATTATATTTCCTGTAAAGATACAATAACCAACTAAAGAATTACATTTAAACCAAACCTTGTATTTTTCCTTATTATCATTATTATTTGAAAGTATTTCATTACGATGATCTTAGTGAAGAAGAGAGAATTCTTATCGCTTTCGATATGGATTACACATACGGACCATGCGTAGGATTAACGAGACTACAAAGATGGAACAGAGCATGCAAACTCGGATTGCAGCCACCAGCTCAAGTTAAAGAATTATTATCAGGACCTTGCACTACAAATCTTATTGAATGTGTGTTCTATGGAAGGGTTTAGAAATTGGAAATTAAGGATTTGAAATTTGGAATTAAGAACTGAAATTTGAAATTAGGAATTGAAATTGTAGGTTGGGAATTATGAAGAATAAATATTATTCTTTCTTATTATCCTTTTAGCTTTAGCTTAGATATTCTCTTTTTTTTTGTTTTTATAAAAATTTTACGAAAATAAATATATTAGTGGCAGCAATGAAAGTTATGATGGTAGTGGAAATAAGGTAATAAATCATATAAGATGATTTTTTATCTTTTTAGTTTTTTTTTTCATTTTATATTTTATTACTAAATTTAATGGAATAAAAATAAAATGGGAGATGAATATTTTAAATTTCAATTTTTTAATTCAAATAAGTTGCAATTTGAATTTTTCTTTTTCTCTTACAAAAAAACATGGCATTGATTTCAATTAATGATAATAATGTGTGAGCACCTTTATTTTCATACCTAAATTGATTGATTTTTCGATTACATGTAAATAATTTCAAAACATTATTAATTACATTGTTTTTTAAAACTTTAACCTTTATACACTAGCTTCAAAAACTTTTATTTTAGTTTTAGTAATTTTGAAGTAGGCAGCATGATTATAAAAAGATTTTTATAATGGCATGGTTTGGTATGTTTTAATATCTTACCAAAAATAAAATAAGCGATTAACATATATACACATACACACATATATATGTCGAGTTACCTGAAGATATATACTTAAACAAAGACTAAATGGACAAAATTAAGTGTTAAACTCTTTAGCTCAAAAAATTAGTATGTTTCATTATATACACCAATTAGTTGTTTTTTTTTTATATATATCCAATACAGATAATCTTAATCTTAAGATATTCACAAAAAGGAAGCAAATACAAATTAAAACAAAAACAAAAACAAAATGGAGCCATAAAACAAGCATCAGATGATTTATCACTGCTACCACTACAACTTATACTAATAATCCTGATAATGGTGGGAATTAGAATAAAAATGGAAACAAGTTTTCATGGTACTTATAGCAGTAGTAATAAATGGCGAGGATGATCATGAGAAGAAAGGAATAAAAGAAAGAATTGGCATGCTTACTACTGCGACTAGAAATGCCGTTTCTTCTAAATCAAAATCCACATTTTCACCAACTTCAATATTAACTTCAACATCAACATCTTCATCCAAGAACAGCAAGACTTAACTACAACACAAATCATCAAAAAGGATCATATTCCTATAAAGTTAATATCATAATAATATTAATTTCAACCCTGGGTTAAAATTATAATTATCATCATATTCAAAGATGTTGTAATTATTTATTTAATTACCAACAAGGTGTACCTTATGTTTTCAAAATAAATGATATACACTCAATCACTGAAAGCTTATCTAAGAAAAGAGAAAATCACCTATGAGATTTATAAAGAAAGAAAAATTATAGCCAATAAAAGAATGTTAGCACAAAACAATGAAAAAACTTTTTTTTGTAGAAAAACAATAATATAAATGGTGTGTGATAAATTTATTATAAATGAAATGAATTTCATTTGGTTGCTTTTCATTTACAAATTACAACAAATAGGAAGGAAAATATATTATATATTTTTTTAAATTGAATTATTTCTATAACGATTATTATTATTATTACCACCGCCTTAAAGTGATTTCTTTTCCCATTTAATTAATTAAAAACTACTGCAAATATCTCTTTTCATTTTCTATATTGATGAGATTGTACAAGCTGATATTCTTAAGCCTAAACTGTAAAATCTATTCTTCGACTAAAAACATGCCTCAACAAATAGTTATCTCATCGTGTGTCCAATGTTGACCCTACAATTGTGTAGAATATATATATATATATATATGTTATTCTTTTCTGGATATATTAATACCTCGCAATTGTTTTTTG